ACTTAATCCACTTTTCTCCATAACAGGCCATCAGTGGAGCGTTCCCAGAAGTCTGGGTAGAGAGAGAGAAAGCAGTCAATTGAATCTTCTGCACGGGACGAGTTGAGCCGTAGCACGGGTTAGCTCCAACAGCCTGCCTCGATAGACTCGATGGAGGATGTGACGCGAGACGACCAAGAGGTCAACTGGGTGGATTGGTGTAGTATCGGAGCACTGAGAGTTGAAAGGAGGGGCCTGGTGGCTGAGCGAGGGGCAGTTGGGCCTAGTTGCAGCAGCAATTGACCTGTCGGCCGTTGCAACTTACAAGGAGGCTAATGTCAAGTTGGTTCCGTCAATATTGGGCTCAATCGAGGCAACCGGGTGCGAGCCACTGGCAGCCACTGGAGGCCTCGACAAGGCCAACCAAGGCCCGTTGGAAAGTCGTACAAGACTGTCACGGAACAGTCTGGTGTCTGCTCTGAACCTACTTACCTACTTAAGTAGGTAAGTATGGAACATGTAGTCACAAAAGCCATGTTGCAACTGTTCACAAAAAAAAAAATGATGCCATATCCTTTTCCAGATATTTCATGCATAGATGCTGCCGAGGACTAGCGACGAGCGAGACCCTGCGACCAAGATGCTACTGATCGAAATACGATTCAATGTTGCTGCATCATCGTGACGGGGTTATTTTCCTTGGTGGTTTGTCCAGTCTAGATCCAGTGCCCACATGTCAGTCAGCCCTACGCCCATGTAAAGTTTGTCCAGAGCCAGGCAGCACCCGAGTCATGGGATTTGGCGCATCTGGAGTCTGATCTGAGTGCTGAAGAGGCGGACTGACTATTATTCCCGGATATGCATACTACATCTACGTGTGCACCTACGGCGGGTCGTTGACATCTGGATGCTGTGTGCACAGCCCATGGTCCACTATCCGCCAGCTGCGTCCCGCCCAGCAGTCTGGTCTGGTCTGTTTGGGGCTGGTGCCTGCAACGTGCCGTCAACGTCAATTTGACGCTACCGCCAAAGCTCCTTGACAGGACTCGACCTGAGGCGTCAGCCTGCCAGCCAGATTCCACCCTTCTACTTCCGCCTTCACTTCTCGCATACCGTCCGGCACACACTTTTCTGCATCGCAACCATGGCGACACATATGAGGGAGAAGCGCGTGGCTAAGGAGCGCCAAAAGGTATACATCACCCACTCACGCCCGTCTGCAGAGTCCATGAAGCTGACTTCTTACTCTACTGTAGATCGAAAGGTCTGGTCTGCCGCCCGGTATCGACCTGGTGGATGGCGACAGCTTGAAAGAATGGACTTTTGATATCCGTGTCCTCGATACAAATCCGCTTTATCAGAACCAGACTTACCGCTTGAGATTTGCTTTTCCACAGTCATATCCCATTGGTATTTCTTCTCCGTTCCTTGTCCCCTTTTGCGGCCTTCGTTACTAGGTAGAGTTGCTAACCCTCCGTTCCTGTAGAACCACCTGAAGTCACATTTGATATAAAGCCGGATCGTCCCGTACCTATCCACCCCCATATTTACTCTAATGGCTTCATATGTCTCGATTTACTGGATACACAAGGATGGAGCCCCGTGCAAAGCGCAGAGAGTGTGTGCATGAGCATCCAAAGCATGCTCACTAGCAATTCCAAAAATGAGCGGCCGCCAGGAGACGAGGAGTTTGTCCGCGGAAACCGACTGCGGCCCCGAGATATTGAGTTTTTATATCACGACAACACTGTATGACCGACATTTGGGGTGGAATCATAGTGACGACGGAGATCTGTCGCGGTGGTTGATGAATGACAAGTCATGTCCTGACTTCGAAGTATTACGTTACATTTTTGGCTCAGACGTTCAAAACAAGCGATCGGCGTATTGTTTTTCTTTTTTCTTCTTATTTTTTTTTACCAATCTGCAGTATAGTGTCTTCTATTACAGTTACATCCTCCTCTTGAGACATCGGGATCTTGCACAGGATCAGGTCACTGGGTTGATTTGGTGCGACATGACGGTATTTGCTCCCCAGACCATCGAGGCCGCAAGAGGTTTACGGCCAGCCAGCCTTCATAGAATCAGCAACCATTTCACAAAAAGGTTGATGCATTCAATCTGATATATAAATAAACTATAAGAAAGAGAAAATATTCACCATTCCTTCACGTCTATTGAGTTGTTTTAGTGTCTCTTGGATGACAGGCCGTCACTAGACTTGCCATGACGTCGACTTGAATTTCCCCCTGGCTGGGAGCCCTTTGATGCTTGACGTGGGGTGCCTTGGCTCCGCCGTCCATCACCTACCTTCACCGCCTTGCCTCTCACTGCGAGGGGGTTCTTGGCAGAATTCGCTAGCTCTCGAGCCTTTTTCGTCACCGACGCCTCCACCTGAATCATAAGTAGTTCATGGCGAGTGCTGCCGAGCTTCCTCGAATTATCGTGTGAGCCGCCATGGCTCCTCGTACCGAGTTTAGTACGGAGCAAGTTCGAACCAAGGCCCGCAAAGACTTGCTCTATTTACTTGAGGGCGTAAGTGATAGCCTCCTCCAGCACCTGAGAGCTCTCGGAGCTTCCACTGGGTTCACACACGCTCATCTTTGTAGGTCCGCGGCAAGAAGAATCTCGTCTTTGACAAGAGCTTAGTCGGTCCCGTTGGAACGATTGTAAAAGTCAATACGCTACAAGAGTATGGAGTCGACAAGTTCTTCGTCTTGGAAAACGACAATGTGGATACCAGCCAGCACAATGTAGTATTCATTGCGCGAGGAGAGTGCGGACGTCACGCTGAGAACATAGCCAGTACGCCTATCCTCCCTTGACCGCGTATCTCGCATCGCTGCATAGGCCTTTCTTTGATTGACCCGCATGCGATTCTCCCCAGACCAAATAAAACGAGTCCGACGCCAGAGCTCTACAAGCCATGAATTTCACATCTTTTGGGTCCCTCGCCGCACCTTGGTATCGGACCAGCTTCTAGAAGAAGCAGGCGTATTAGGCGACGCGAACATATCCGAGCTTCCGTTATTCTTCTTTCCGCTGGAGAGAGACGTTTTATCCCTAGAACTAGAAGATTCCTTCAAAGACCTGTACCTCTCCAAAGATGTCACACCCAACTACCTCTTGGCAAAGGCCTTGATGGAAGTCCAGCAGAATCACGGCTTATTTCCTCGAATGATTGGAAAAGGCGATAACGCAAAGAAGATATCTGACCTCCTAGTTCGCATGCGCCAGGAACTCCTCGCGGGCGAAGATACGAGCGACTCGAACAAACCCGGCTTAACGCCCAGTTCGACAAACGAGAGCGTTATTATAATTGACCGTGAGGCAGACTTTGTTACCCCTCTTCTCACACAGCTGACCTACGAGGGTCTGATAGACGAAGTATTCGAAATCCAGAATAACCAAACCAAGGTGGACACAACCATTGTTGGGGCTCCAGCTCGGTCATCTGCTGCGACTACGCAGGGGCGGAAAGAGACGGTTCCCCTAGACTCTAGCGACAAGCTATACGATCAGTTACGAGATGCCAACTTCGCAATCGTTGGCGGGATGCTCAACAAGGTTGCCCGGCGGTTACAGCAGGTTCAGTCTGACTATGAGACCAAGCATAAGACAAAAACATTGGCCGAACTCAAGGAGTTTGTTGCTCAATTGCCTGGGTATCAGCAAGAGCATCGAAGTGTCCGAATCCATACAGGTATCGCCGAGGAAATAATCAAGCGTACCAGAACCGACGAGTTCAGGGGCTTACTACAAGTGCAGCAGAATCTTGCTGCTGGCGCAGATCCCTCCTCTCAATTCGATGGCATCGAGGAGCTTATAGCGCGGGATGCGCCTATTCGTGAGACTCTCAGGCTATTGTGCATTTACTCTTGTATTTCTGGAGGCATCAAGCCAAAGGAGTATGACCAGTTTCGAAAGCTTGTCTTGCACGGGTACGGATATCAACATCTCCTGACGCTTCACAATTTGGAAAAGCTACAACTCTTCCTTTCTCGATCCTCTCCCCTGGCTGGAGTGATCCCTATGACCGGTAATGCAGGGGCAACGGGTAGCAAAACGAACTACACCTATTTACGAAAGCAGCTGCGCCTTATTGTCGATGAGGTTCAAGAAGATGATCCCAATGATATTGCCTACGTATATAGCGGGTACGCTCCTCTATCCATTCGTCTAGTCCAGTGCGTTCTGCAAAAGCAATATTTGTTGTCCTTCGCGAAGGGCGGTAGTGCTGCAAACGCTGGCGTCGCAGCCGCGGCGACCACAAGTCAGGGCTGGCATGGCTTTGATGAAGCGGTCAAGCATGTCCGCGGACAGACATTCTACGAGCTTCAAACTGGCGAAGACAAGGCGGTGAAGGCTCGTGCACTCCTTTCAGGGAGCAGCGCAAAGCAGACTGTGTTTGTCGTTTTCGTGGGTGGCATCACATTTACCGAAATTGCTGCACTTCGCTTCATAGCCAAGCAAGATGAAGGTAGGTCGGCTTTTTCTGACGAAAAGTTATCGAGTACTCTAATGAATCGCACAGGCCGAAGAAATATCATCATTTGCACGACATCCATAATCAGCGGCAACAGGATGATGGACGCTGCGATAGAGACTGGCTCATACGCAAGGGAGTCACCGTCAGTCCAGGTTGAACGTCGTTGAAGTGAGCGACACATGTACGATACCTTATTGAAAACAATTCGGACCCGTGCGGCATTATAATAGTCAAAGACGAGGGAATCAAACGCATCAGCATGCTTCTGGCGTTCATGGAAGCAATGTTTGATTTCTTTCCTCCTTCCTCTTTTTTTTTCCAGCTCTGCTGGGTTGAGAGTTGGTGAGCCCATTCAAAGCTGCCCATCAAGTTCCGATTTGAGATTGGCGTCCTGAAGGCCCACAAGTTCGAACATTGCGATTCGAGGGAAACGGTGGCCTCACGTGATTACTAACCTTGCGATGTTTCCGGGGGGGCGTTGAGGGGCGTAATGGACTGACAGCTTCAATTCTTCATTGAGCCTTCCCTGTACTAGTTTATATCATCCAATTATGCTTGTTTGAAGTATATACGTCGTGTGCCACTTTTAAATCCATTTTTTAAATCACTCTCGAACTCATCAGCCAGCTGCAACACTCTCATGGCCTGTCATTGAAGTCTCCAGGTTAGTACCTTCAATGCGCTTACATCTTTCATTCTGGAAAGCCTCCGCCATATGCTGACGAGATTCAACAGGCATGTGAAGGTGACATACAATTACACTGTCGTATAATGCCAAACTCAGAGTAACCACCTCTATGAGTCTGATTGCGAGCCATTCCCCGGTCGGTGGCCCCTGGCCTTAGCAATATATATCAGTCTCATGCCTCTGAGAAGTTTCAAACCTCGTCGATGGCTTAACGTAATATCGCCATGGACATAAATATAAACTGTAACCCAGAAAGGGACGAGGGCGTTGTTAACGACACTTTCATCAATCACGATAATGTATACTCTTCGAGATCACTCAGACCTCAACCGACATCTCATTTAACACACAATATATCGACACGTGAAGCGACTCAGCGAGATGTGGCTGGTGGCTCGCCAGATCGGCTTTCAGGATCTGGAAAAGGAGGTATAGTGGATTCTATCCGCGAACGCGATAGCATAGAAGTATGTGTGGATGAAGGAGGTGTCGAGGAGCAAGACTCTGTGGATGGTTCCGTCGGGTGAGTCCCTGCTTTCACGCTTTGCATCATCTCATCACATGATGGCTGGCTTCTAATGCGAGATGACAGAGTATCAAAAACGGATGGGTGCAAGATTTTGCAAGTGGCAGACAACGACGCAGCGGCCGAATCTTTTGGCTCGTCAATGTCGGCTGTCACGGAGCAGTCAGAAGCTTCATCGTCATTCGTTTCAAGTAAAGCCACAACTCCGGTAGAGATTGAGTTCACAAAACTCCAGCGCGGTGATCAAGTGAGCCAACGACTCGTACCGAAAACATACCACCGTAGCCACGAGCGGCTAAGTTTTACTGTCCGACCCAAGTCATCGATCCCCACCGATATTCCTGTCCACCAACATGCTGCTGAATGCCTTGATGCCGCAGAATCCTCTCGACTGAACCCGTATGCCTTGAATTCTGAGGAATACCATCTTTTACGACATCACATCTCTCATAGTCAAGTCACGACATATCTGAACATAAGAAACGCGATCTTGCGTATTTGGTTACAGAAGCCTTGGGCTATTGTAACGAGGCGAGAAGCGGTCGGCTGTGCCAATGCAAGATGGTTCGATGCTGCCAATGTCTGCTACGACTGGCTGGTTCGAAGAGGATATATTAACTACGGCTGTGTCAAACTTCCCGACGTCTCTATGATGAAAAGTGGAACGTTGAACCGTAGAAAGCGAAGGAAAATCGCCGTCATTGGCGCGGGCATATCGGGTCTGGCGTGTGCCAGACAGTTGGAGGGGCTTTTCAAACAATATGCGGAAAGATTTTATGACATGGGTGAGGATATTCCGAAAGTTGTTCTCCTTGAGGGACGAAGTCGCGTTGGAGGAAGGGTGTATTCTCGAGAATTCAAGACAAAGCTCAATGATCAAAGGCCAGAATTCGAAGGTAAAAGACATACAGCAGAAATGGGAGGCATGATCATAACTGGCTTCGAGCGTGGCAATCCTATCAACGTCTTAGTTCGGGGACAACTCGGTCTACCGTATCATGCCTTGACAGCAGAAACCACCATTTATGACAGCAATGGTAAACCTGTAGACCCAATTCGAGACGAGCTAGTGGAAAAGCTTTACAACGATTGCTTGGACCGAGTAAGTGAGTACAAGTTCAAAGCACAGCCGTCAAAAGTAATCGAAGGCAACCGTGACCTTCTCGACGAAGGCCGCGACAGTCCAGGGGATGGCAGCAAAACCATAATGCAAGCAGAAGAAGCAACCGCAGCACTCCCACATGCACCATCGGTTTCAGAGCAGAGCGTCCCAGAGAAGATCAACCTCGTTCCTGTGTCAGCCGACAAGCTGACTGGCCGGGTTCATAACCAGCCCGGTATTCCAGCTTCTGAAAAGGTAGCGGAGAAGGCCCGAATGATGGGCTGGAGCCTCAAGCCTGGAGCCAATGAAGACTTTGATCTGAATCTTGAGGATGCTGTGTCTCGACACGGTTCAACGCTGGGATCAGTCCTCGATCACGGAGTCACTCGGTACAAGGATCTGGTTGATTTGACTCCCCAAGACTACCGTTTAATCAACTGGCATATTGCCAACCTCGAATACAGCAATGCTACAAACTTACACAATCTGAGTCTTGAATTATGGGACATTGATGCCGGGAATGAATGGGAAGGAAATCACACCATGGTCGTTGGCGGTTACCAAAGTATTGCCCGTGGACTGCTTCAGTGCCCGACGCCCCTTGACTTATCTACAAAGTTTGCAGTAAAGACTATCAAGTATAATAGCACGAGCTTTGAAGGTCCGGCAACCATCGAATCTGAAGATGGCGTAAGCGTCAGCGCCGACAATATCGTTTGTACCGTACCCCTAGGCGTCCTCAAGCAAGGGAGTATCGATTTTGAACCTGCATTGCCTGCTTGGAAACTTGGTGCGATAGAACGCTTGGGATTCGGCATTCTGAACAAGGTTGTGCTTGTGTACGATGAGGTATTTTGGGATCCCCAGCGACACATATTTGGAGTTCTGAGAAACCCCCCGAATAGACACAGCACATCACAGGAAGACTACGCCCTCAATCGTGGCCGCTTCTTCCAGTGGTTCAATGTTACCCACACCACTGGACTTCCGTGCCTAATTGCTCTAATGGCCGGAGATGCCGGCTTCGAAACTGAACGCTCCAGCAATGAAAGCCTGGTCGAGGAAGCCACCGAGATTCTTCGTGGCGTATTTGGAAATAAGGTTCCATATCCAGTCGAGTCTGTAATCACCCGCTGGGGCTCCGATCGATTTGCCAGGGGAAGCTACTCATCTGCAGCCCCAGCGATGCAACCAGGAGACTACGACAGCATGGCCCGATCCGTTGGCAACCTCGTTTTTGCCGGAGAGCACACTATTGGCACACACCCGGCTACAGTTCATGGCGCATACCTGTCTGGGCTGCGGGCAGCCTCCGAGGTTCTAGAGAGCATCCTCGGTCCCATCGAAGTCCCTACACCACTCATCCTGCCAAAGGACTCTCTTCTCTTACAAAAACGCAAAGAAGCAGCAAAAGACCCCCGGCAAGCACGCCTCGAAGCCTACGAACTCGAGATCTGTGACCACATCCGAGACCAAATAGGCGAGCGGCCCCTTCGCCCCAACAAGGTCGCAGGAAACGCCTACCTTCTCTACAGCAAAGCGCACATCGAAGAAGCCCGCAAGCGCTGCGAAGAGAACCGCAAGCCAGGCAAGGCACGTAGTTTCCCCAATGAAGTACGCATGATGACTTCCAGGATGTGGAAAGACACTCCCCCCGAGCAACGGCAGCCATACGAGGAACAGGCCGCGGAGCAGAAGAAGGCCTATAATACAGCTCTCCAGGTGTACAATGCAACGGTCCATGAATGGGACCAGAAGGCTATTACCCTCCGAGCCGAGTACGAAAGAGCGCATCCTAGCGTGCCTGGGCCGGAGGAATTGCGTGAAGAGCAAGGCACCCCTAACAAGTACCGGCGTGCTAAGCAGGTCAGTTATGCCGAGGAGCGTAACACGGACATGGACGTGTAAATTTGTCTGTAATAATTGTATATACATATGCTGCTTCTAGCCGGCACCCATAGTCTAGTCAAAGGTTCTTTTGCTTTTCGGGCTGGAAAGTACATTAGTTTTTGGGCTTAGTGGCCGACGGGGGATCGATCATATTCTGGCGTCTGGCAAAATGTTGCATTGCACCGCATGAGCTTGGGTAGGTAGGTCGTGATTTTGCTCATATACTATAACAATACACATGGACTGCATGGTAGTTTATTGACAACACATGATGTGATATGGCGCCGAAATGGTCATCAGGTGAATGTCGAAGAGAAAATTACGAGAGCTGCGGGCGGCCGCCATGTGTACTTCCAGCGAGACGGACTCGTCGATAAAGACACAGAAAACGGAATTTTCAATACACATCAACAGAGCTATGCCTTCACTAAAGCCGTAAAATCGACAACAATTAACATTTCAGGTGTTATACATGGGTCGTTCAAAGGATACAGCCACTATTCGATCATGTCGATGTCGTCATTGCCCGCAGCCGGGACAGCTTCGGTGGCCGGCGCTGCACCGTTAGCCGGAGCATTCGCCGCGGCAGACTCATTGCCACCGCCCCCAAAGTAGTCTGCCATTTCAGCATCGAGTTCTTCCTGCGTTTTCTTTCCCCTTGGGTTGCCACGACCGCCACGACCACCTTCATTGTTTTTGTTCCCGCCTTCACGTCGAGCACCGGGACGACGTCCTCCGCGACCACCTTGGCGTCGGGGCATAGGGCTTCTGGAACGTCTTCCTGGAATATATCTATCAATTCCCTTACGGGCAGCGTCCTCCTCTTCAAGTCTGCGGCGAGGGGAAGTGGAGCGGGCTCTGCCACCAGCACCAGGGGCTGAGATTCGCTCCGCCAGTGGACGGCCAGGCATAACTGCAGTATCGAATGGATTCCGTGAAGGGAGTAGCGTGAGGCGTATTGGTTGCCCTTGTCAAGTCCAATTAGAAGCGCTCTTGGTGGGCGATATGCATGTGATAAAAACTTACCGTTGGCATTTGCGCCGTCAAACTGTTTAATAGCTTCCTCAGCATCTTCCCTTTGCTCATATGTGACGTACGCGACGCCTTCTGAGCGCCCTGCGCGGTCATATCGCAGGTTGAGCCTCGAAACACGACCAATCCTAGCAAAGAGTTCCTATAGTCATGTTAGCGTTGCACTGCAGGAACGTGCATTGCTCTTTGCGTGACGTACATCTAGATCCTCCTCTGTGAGATCGTAATGGATATTCTCGACACGGATTTTCGATCCTTTGTTGTCACTGTCGCGGCTAGAGTCAGCCTACGGTACAAAAGTCTGAACCTCTCGGGATTCGTGGCATACCTGACTGGAGAGTCGCGACGGCGTCGAGATGCGGGGCCACGGCGAGATTCTGTAAAGGTAAATGAGCCTGTGATGGCAAGTAAAGCTGACGACACCGTCGTCGGTTCTTACCGCTCTCATCGTATCGGTCGTGAACCCATTCACTACAAGTGCAGGTTAGCTTGATGAAATTCAGGCGGCACAAGAAGCTTTAGGCACGGACCTGTCTATATTTCGGCGATCATCGCGGGTTGACTGTTGGAGGGAGGAGAAAGAGCTGGTTAGCGATGGGTCTAGGAGAGGATTATTGCTGTCCGCATCGTCAAGGCGCTGTATGCATCGATTCGACAGAATGAGAGGCGGACCAAGGCAACCCGCCAGTTAGACAGTTGCGAGGAGAGGAGGATAATGCAACCTGCAAGGCGGCAAGGTAAGCACAAGGGGGTCCTCGAGGGTCTGGAGATTCAGGAAATGGAAGGGAAATAGACTACCTTTCTTACCCCGTCCCGGGGATAGTCATTGCGGTCGCGACGGCGGTTATCTCGCACGCCGCGGGGGGGTGGGATCATCGCGGGTTGACTGTTGGAGGGAGGAGAAAGAGCTGGTTAGCGATGGGTCTAGGAGAGGATTATTGCTGTCCGCATCGTCAAGGCGCTGTATGCATCGATTCGACAGAATGAGAGGCGGACCAAGGCAACCCGCCAGTTAGACAGTTGCGAGGAGAGGAGGATAATGCAACCTGCAAGGCGGCAAGGTAAGCACAAGGGGGTCCTCGAGGGTCTGGAGATTCAGGAAATGGAAGGGAAATAGACTACCTTTCTTACCCCGTCCCGGGGATAGTGGTTGCGGCCGCGGCGGCGGTTATCTCGACCGCCGCGTCGGTTTCGAGGGCCACTGGTTCGCTAGATGGCTTTGTCAGGCAGGCTGCTTGAGGTTTTGGCGAGTCGGGCCCAAAAGCATACCTTTTCAGCAATGATCTCGTCGAGGCCACGGTCCATGTTCTGAGCCATTGTGGGCAGTACAGAGAAAGCTCCTTGCGATGTTGCAACGCTGCGACAGCACAGGACAGCACAGGATATGCTGGGATCAAGGAGGACGGAGAATTCTGGATGAGGCGAGCCTGGTGTGTCTCTCCAGGATCGCCGGCGTTGGCGAAGCTCAGAGGAACAGGACATTGAACGGGACGTGCAGCCCCGGTTTTTGCCCGAGTCGTATGGAGGACGTTGCCGGGTACTAGGTACCTACCTAGGGTAGGTAGTCGGTACGACCGACCCTGACTGGCCAGGGCTGAATGGGCACCTAGTGCTCGAAGTACCTAGGTGTGCGGTACTGTCATGTTGGCATGGTTGCTGACGTTCTGCCCAGGCGGTCGGGCAAGAATACCAAGTACAAACAAGTACGGAGTACCAGCTTCCAGACTTCAGGTACTGGAGTGCGGAGTACTACAGAGCGCAGCACATGCCCACTGAATTAAGTAGCCGCAGCAGACCATACTGGACAATGGTACTTGAGTAGCAGGTACCTACCTAGGTACATAGCAACTTATGGGGCGCGCCGCTGGGACGGACTTCAATCGTGCATCGCCTCGTATTTTCCCAGGTCCGCTTCGCTTGATGATTCCTTTGCTCCCTGACTCGCATCAGCGACCACATTTCAATTCACTATAGGCGTGCATCCTGCCTGATCCCTCTTTTTGTTTTCCGACACATTGCGCCAACCCGTTCGACGACCGCACAATTCATTGCGTGTCCTGGCCGGTTGCACTGGCTGCCGTTGCTTGATGCCCCTGTCATCTGCATAGGCCACGCCGCGTTTTGTCGCAATCCGTCAACGTTATCCCAACCACATCCCAAGCCATCGGGACGCGCATCGAGACGACTAGGCGCACTATCTGGGTTCTTCCTGTTCCCGCACAGATACAGCCTCCATGGCTCGACCCATGGGGTCAGTCCGTCTCAAGAAGGCGAATCCCCTGACTCTCCTTCTGGGCCTTGTTCTTTGCATCTTCATCCTGTTCTTTCTTGTCTCTCCCTCAGGCAAGGCCACGTCGAGCAAATTGCCCTCCGTCACAGCTGAGCATCACCTTTCGCCGCCTACCTCACCGTACAAGAAGTCCTCTTCGAAATCTGGCTTGCAGACCGGCCCCCCGCCCGTTATTCGATACAACCTCAATAATGTCACTGTGACTCCGAATCCCATCGAGAACCAAGAACATGTCCTCATCTTGACACCAATGGCGCGCTTCTATCAGGAGTATTGGGACAATTTGCTTCGCCTGAGCTACCCCCACGAGCTCATCACCCTCGGCTTCATCCTCCCCAAGACCAAGGAAGGCAATGCTGCCACCGCCGCCCTGCAGCAGCAGATCCAGAAGACCCAAAAGCGCGGCCCGGCAAAGGATCGTTTCAAGAGCATCATCATCCTGCGCCAGGATTTTGACCCAGCCATTGAATCGCAGGATGAGAGTGAGCGTCACAAGATGGCCAACCAGAAGGCAAGGAGGGCAGTCATGGCCAAGGCCCGCAACTCACTGCTCTTCACCACTCTGGGTCCTGCGACTTCCTGGGTCCTGTGGCTCGACTCTGACGTTATCGAGAGCCCAGCAAGCTTGATCCAAGATCTTGCCCAGCACAACAAGGATGTCATTGTTCCCAACTGCTTTCAGCGCTTCTACAATGACGACAAGAAGAAGATGGACGAACGGCCATACGATTACAATAGCTGGCAAGACAGTGATATCGCCATGCAGATGGCTTCCAAGATGGGTCCTGATGACATTTTGCTCGAGGGATACCCTGAAATGGCCACATATCGGACTCTAATGGCTCACTTGGCCACCGACGGTGGTGACCAGAATCTTGCTATTCCTCTGGACGGCGTGGGAGGGACTGCTTTGCTGGTCAAGGCCGATGTCCACCGTGACGGTGCCATGTTTCCCCCGTTTTCCTTTTACCATCTCATTGAGACCGAAGGTTTTGCCAAGATGGCCAAGAGATTAGGATGGCAACCTTACGGTCTTCCCAACTACAAGGTACGCACGGCGTCAGTTTAAGTGACGTAACGGCGAGACTGACTTGAATTAGGTCTACCATTATAACGAGTAAAAAACACAGCACAAGGAGAAATCGAGGAAGACAAAGTGCTGAATATCGTATAGACTGGAGTTTACTGCAGAATTCTAAGAGGCCCATGTCATGGCTATGTGCAGGTTGCGTCCTCGGACTCATCAAGAAGCGTCATCAAAAAGAACAAAAGTTGATATACTGCATCCCGTTGGCAAACCCTGGTCTCAGTGCAGGCCAATATTGGCGGCGTGGCGGCGTTCATGTAGCATCTTTTTATTGTTACTATTGTTATTTCTAGCAGAGATGAGGGGGGAGAAGAGGAAGAAGAAAAAGGCACCGGGAGACAAAAGACAAAAGGGCTGTGGATCTTTACTATTTCCTGCTTTGAAACCCCTTTAGAGTTGGGCAGGAGTACGGGTGCGGTGGACTTGTTCCGCTGCTCAGAGCTTTGTTCACATTACAGTCGCGTTTCTTTTTTTCTTTTTTTTTTTCAACCATGTGTTTTACATTTTCTTTCTTCTTTTTTTTTTCATGTTTATAAGATACACACGACACTTTTTAGGGGTGGGAAGCGAAGGGTTTGGTTTTGGGATAGACCGCAGTAAACTCATCCTGACATGACTTGAACTCGGCGTGCCGAACATATAGAATTTATGCTAACATGCCAGCTATGATGAGTTCCTCTTCTATCCAAATATGCAACAATGATTTCGACTTGAGCGCACAGGATTGCTCCACAATGAATTCCATGCCCAAATACAGCTCCAAGGAGCCTCGCTTCAATGTACAATTTTGTAATTTGCAGTCCCGGCGACTATCCCAACTCCAAGAAAAAAGAAGAAACAAGCACATAAAACCCAGGTATCCCTCCATCCAGGTGAGAATCGCACATTCACCGAGTACAAAATCACAGACCCGAGCCTCATCACTGCTCTCCCCCAAGCGCCCATCACTCACCCCCTAAGGCCCATGATACCTACCCCCATCGTCAGCACACCAACACTCGACGAGCCTCCTCGTGCCGACGACATCGCCGGCCCTCAGCAGCGCCGCGACATCCACGTTCAGCGGGCTGTCCGTCTCGGGGCAGCTCAGCAGCATGCGCACGGCGCGCACGCACTCCAGCACGCTGTACGCCGGCGTCCACGCGTCCTTGAGCAAGTCCAGGCATATCTCGCCCGTCTGCAGCGCAATGTTGGGGTGCACGATGGGCGTGACGAAGCGCATCTTGGGCGCCTGCAGGGGGTACGTCGGCGGCACCGAGATGGAGACGAGCCAGCGTCCGCCTGTACGAAAGCATGTTAGCATAAAGGGACCGCAGAGATTCCAAGGGAACTCGGGGGGGGGCTTGCCGTCGTAGCCTGCTCCCACGCCTTGGCCGTTGATGACGCCCTCCCACTCGAGGAGGTTTTCGTCGCTGACGGGGCCGAGCCGCTCGATGCCCTTCTCGTCGCTCTGCTCTCTGCGCCATGTGTCCATCTCTTTGAGGAGGCGCTTGGTTGCGGTTTTGGCGGAGCTGCCGTTGGGGCCGCTAGCTGTGCTGGACCGGCCGGGGGATTGGGTGCGCGGCATGCTTCGTTTTTGCTTGCGGTGGCGTCGGTGCGCGGGTGTCTGCGGTTGATGATTTGTCCCTGGACGTGTGGCATGTGGTGATGGTTGACGGAGGTAACAAGTGAGGTCAGGTCGGTCTAATAACTTCAGGTACATTTGGCCCAAGGCCTTTTCTGGGGTCGTGAGGCAGCTGATTGGGGTGGGCGGGGGGAAGCTTGGACAGGGATCTGCGGGCAGAGCCGAGGCTGCGAGTGGCTGCCGACGAAGAGGGACTGACGGAGCTGTTCTCCGTCCTCCGTAGCTAGTGTACAGGAGGAGGTTGACGTTGGTCGTCGTGTCGTGGCAATGCGCCGACGGACCATGACCAACATGGGGTTCATGTAGCCTGCTCTCTCCCCCACCCTTTTATTTTACTGCGTTTGTACGTACTCCCTGCTCAACTTCATCTGCCATGGCCGCACCTGTCCATTTATTCTTGCGATGACAGGTACCCATCGCCCTCGCACGGGATAGCTTGTGACGACATACACCGAGGCACCAGACGTTGCAGTTTATGCGTTCGATTACAAGTATTATCAGGAATAGGTATCATGGGGACATACACCACCGACTGTTTGCTTACTTCTTCTTCTTCTTCCCTGCAACCTGCTTCCGCTTCACTGGCGACGATGATTTCTTCTTACTCCTTACGCGTTCAGGCGACTCCTCCACGACGATAGTCGAATTCCGACCCCTTCCCCTGGACTTACTCACTGGCTCCCGAATCGGCGGCTCGACACGGCCATCACTGCTGCTCTCCTCGCTGTTTGAGCTGTGGGCGTCACTGGTGTCCTCGCCGTAGCTGGTTCGCCTGGACCCGTGGCTGCTCCTAGCTGCGGGGGGAGTCACCGTGCTCCGACGTTGGTCATGCATGACCTCGGAAGGCCCCGATACATGCCGTCTAGAAGAAGCACCCGCAGCGCCCGGGGGGTATGGAGCGCGCGGACTCGCTGTCTGGTATTGGAACGGATCGAGGTGACCATCCCGGAGAGAGCCTACTGATGAGCGTGGTCGGCTGGCAGAAGATGGTCGGGAGGAGCTGTATTCGTACTCGTCGCGCGCACGACTGGGCGGCCGTTGCGATGAGCTTGTCCCAGAGCGAGGTCGCGAACGAGACGCAGACGGCGGCGGAAAGTATCCCATGGGTGGGTATCCTTGTCGGTCACGACCATCTGCCGGTAGGTCGCCGCCTGTTATTTGCCGGGGAAGGGAGTCCTGTCTTGGGGGTAACTCCATTGATGCCGGCAGCGACGATTTCTTTTTGCGTGAGACCGGTGCGAGCTGCGCAAGTGGCACGGCTATCCGCTGCTCCGACTTCTTCTTTCGATCACTCCCGCCTCCCGAGTGGCGCTTCTTCTTGCGTCTCGCTCGCTCCTCCTCTTCCATACGTTTCCGTCGCTGTGCAAGTGCCTCAAGTTCTTCCTTTCTTAGATGAACATCTGTCTGGCCAGCGGCTCGAGCCTGGTTTATTCGTTGCATCGCCGACTGAACCAGGACCTCTTCCCTCTCTTCCGGACTCAAGCCCGACAAATCAAGATAGTCGCTGTCCTCACTATCCTCACTATCATCCGAGTCACCCTCACTATCACTCTCGTTTGAAGTCGCATCGCTGTCATCCTCCGAAGCGCCAAACTGTCGGCGGCGAAACGTGCCACTGTCCCGGTCACCCAAGTCTACACCAGTAAATTGAAGAGAATCGCTAACGAAGCGAGTGCCTCGCCGCGTGGCCAGCCCAACGCCTTGTGCATCCGTTTCGTCCCCTTCGGTCCCCAGCTCTTCCACCCTAGAGCTATAGTGCGCAGCATCCCCATCAGTTTTCCTCCGCCCGCGCCTCGATGGTCTTCCCCATTGGGGCGCAAATTTGGGAGCCCGCGGCCGACCACCTAGACCGCCTCCCCTGAAAAAGCCTCATCGATGGGCTTGTCCAGAAGTGAAGCGTGACCAAGAATAGTCACGCCGGTAGCGCCGATCAGCCAAAGCAGGGTCGAGAATGGCGAGGCAATCAGACCCAAGGGAACGGCGACGATGAGAAGGCCCGTGTACAGCTGCGAGGAGGTGGCACGGAAAGTGCCAATTTCGAGATCGCGGCCGTCCAGGCGTCCAATGAACCACATACCGACTACCACGAGGATGATATCGAACAAGAGGAGCCAGTTGGTCAGAAGAGCGTACAGGCTCAGCATGCAGAAGACGACGGCATAGTTGCTGGAAAAGTGGCTCAAGTTGTAATTGACGCGCGACTGCATCTCGCTGAAGTTGGCGGGCTTGGAGAGTCGCTTGAAGTCAAGAAACTCGGAGATGGGCCGCAAGTTGGAGAATCGGCCAGTCAAAGGGCCAGACGTGAGGCCTGAGAAGCGGTCTCCCAAGTTCAGACGCGACGTCAGAGCGTCGAGGGGGATCTGAATACGAGCCATTGCGACGGAGGGTGTGTGGTTGAAAGTCTGTATGAATAGAGCAGTTCGACGAGTTGCCAACGAGCCGGGGTTGGAATGAAAATGAAGGTATTTCGCTGGTGCCTAGATGTCACTGTCCAAAGGCGATGTCAGCCAGAGCTGCACCCCTGTCGTGATGGATGCAGTTTGAGACGTAATGCCCAAGTCGCGACGAGTTGCCGCAAGAGTACTCGGTACACAACTGCCCGTCCCAGAGGCCAGAAGAGAGTGCTTGGTATTTCAAGGTCAAGAACAGCAACAGGAACAGGAACACGCGAAGAGTTTGATCCGCCAAAGGGATGCGGAGTCACTCAAGGCAAGGAAGATGGATGGATGAGATTTGCAACATACCAAGGGATTCTAGGGCGGCAAGGGAGCACCTAGGTAATCTAGCTAGAGAAACAAAGGCAGCTGTCGCAAAGCACGGAAAGAGGTAGTATATGGTCGGCCGGTGAGAGTCGGAGTAAGATGAGGTTGGTTGGAGTCCAAAACTTTTTCCCCCGATCCCCTGTGAAATAATGCAATAATGCCGAGAGTTGGTTCCTTGTACTTGTCAGGGGCAAGAATGCAAGAAGTTGGCTGCTAAAGTTCGCGGGCAAGGCGAAAACGGGCGATTCGCCGCGCCCCTGGCTGGCACAAGCACGACGTCGGGCGTGCGGTGTACCGGAGACTTGTCCTATTTGCAGTGATTTGACTAGCTGGTGCTTCGTTACATGCCCGGCAAGTAGCCCACTATGACGGTTTAGTCAGCAACTGGCGACGGCTGCGCGAGTAGTGGCTTGCGGCCAAGCATCTGAGCCTGGCACTTTCGGTGCTCCGTACCTGAAAGCAAAAGTCAGCGCAGCCCGAATCGTTGGCCAAAGCCAATTGCAGCTCCTACGAGACGACAAGAATACAGGTCGTTTGCCAGTGAAGACGGCTTCAATCCGAGACCTCTAGTGCAACGGGTTTCGACATACCTTGGGCTCAAGCTGGCGCAGCCAGATGGCAGTGCACGGGCTGGCCAGCAGCTGAAGTGCTCAAGGCTCCAGCGTTCAGCGAGAACTGGACGGAGTACTGGGTACCTGGCAGCCTGGGGACCGGAGCGCCCACCCGGCAGGTAATACTGGTGACTCCCTTCCGATGGCAAGTCCTGAATCTCGTACAAGACGTAGAGAGACCACATCCATCCGTCCCCAAAGTGTGCGGAAGAAAAAAGGAAAGGAAAGGATTGAAACTCAACTTCCTAGCAGCTCGTAGAAGATGGCAATCACTAGAGACCAAGCTTTTTTTTCTTCCCTTCTGTTCGTCCTCTGCTCCGCACACCGACACAGGCCAGTCAACAACGCTTAATCCACCCGGCGTCCACTCTTCATGCAAGCTGCAAGCTGGCACCCGCTCGAGCACGGCGACCGTCACCGCCTCCAATCGACATTGACCAAGTGCGCTTTGGCACAGACGTTTTACTTGGGCTCTCGTGTCCGGCCCAATGTCATGCACGCTAGCCATGACAACAAGCCACTGTAAGCTACGTCTCGAAACAATCGGACGGGAGATCGAAAGCAGGACCTCAAGTGCCTGCACGTCTGCCTGATGGAACAAGTCCCTCCTCGCTTCTGCTATACATGTACCTAGTAGGCACGTATTAACAAACAGAAATACCAACCTTGCTCACCTGTCTCTGGGACTCCGCCTTTCAGGCGTCAAGATCCGCCATCACAAGCAGAAAGCGTGCCATGGGGGCAGAGAGAAAAAAAAAAGTTTATCTGAGCTGATACTATACCTACTGGCCACTAGGTAATTCACACATCTATCACTAAGCCCATACACGCCGTCTCATTGCAAAGGCCAGGACTCTAGGTACCTAGTAGGTAGGTATCTAGTGACATCATCTGAGGCCAGCTTTACGCGGAGTAGCTCGATGCCCAAACAATGCCCTCAAGACTGCTGTCCAACCAACAAGAACGCGTCCATTGGTGCTCCGTACTCCATAAGAGACTAACCATTGGGCTCGGCGACACAGGACATGATCCTATTGAGCCGAGGACAAAGCCCCCCCCGGTAATGCGTGGGGATGACCCCAGCTCTGCATGGATATTATTGCGGGACTCTCGACGATTATCGATTTCGTCAACTTTTACCTCTTCTGGCGAACACATGGCTCATCACATGGTCGAGAAACTCGGGTATTGTGTTGCTATTTCAACAGAGTACTCGTACATGCTGCCCATACACCACATATTAAGATGTTGAAAATGACCGGAAAAAACTCCCAAGCATGGCAACCCGGCCTCCCGCTTAAGAACCAACGCAGGGGCGGGGGTATATGAGAAATGCACAACGGCGTAACCACCACCAATTAGTCGGTCAATACAGACCATTTACAAAAAAGGAACACATCAAGTAAGCTTGTGCCTTTGAGTCTACACCTCAAAAAAGTAGTCCTCGTCAAGTCCTGCTCGGCTGGGTACCACTCCAGCGCCTGGTGGTGGTCCCTCAAACGCCGAGTCCATGCGGACGTTGAGCAACCGGATCTTCAGGCCGTACTCGCTCACCAAGTTGATCAGCTTGTTTGTTTCCGCAGTGATTGGAGCCTGATTTAGCAGCATGAGCAAACCATCGAGCCATTCCGACGCTAGGCTGTGGCTGGTAGGCCACAATGTCAACATTGGGTATTCGTCAGCCTCGCCGTGCTCGTTGATTTCACCGGCATACATGGTAATTTTGGTGGTGGTTTTGGAATGGCTGGCCAAGTTTTGTACCGTGGAGCCGCTTGCGTGGCTTCTCCTGTCGTCCGTTGCAGACACGTTGGAGCCCACGGAGCTGACGGTGCCCAAGTCGATCTTGTTGGTCAGCACGTCCAGCCCTGGATCCTGGGCCATTTGCTCCTCAAAGTCTGCGTAATGCAAATATCGGCGGTTGTGTGATAGCTTGACGAAGCGCCACGGAGAGACGGTCTTGGCATCGTCTGCGTCTTCCCGACCCTTCTGGTGACATGCCGGCTTGCAGAACCACGAGCCTTGCAGCAGACACCGCACCCGCTGCTCCTTGACGAATTGCAGAGCCTCCTGTTTAAGAGTCTCGCGCACTTGGTACAGGTGTTGGCCCCATGTGTCGTCGAAAGACAGCTCCAGCAGCTCCATCTGCAGCTCTCGAAGCTGAGCAATATCATACTCCAAAATATCGTCCTCTACCTCGAGAATATCCTTTGTCCGCGATGCTCTACCAACGACCTGTTCAATGAGGATACGGACGAGCTCTGCCACCTTTTCAAAGTCATCCGACTCGGCACCAGTGGCCTTCCATATGCGCAGGAAACCCAACAAGCCGGCCGCGTGTAAACGAGACCACTGCAACAGCAATGGCCGGAATAATCTATCGTGGTCCTTCCCTTCCAACCCGTGATATCCCTTGCTGTCCTCGATTTCGACCCTATCGACCTCGAAATGATGATATAAGATGAGGGTTACAGCTAGGCTGGCTCTTGCAATCGGGCATCTTTCTTGGAGTGGCCTTGCAGCTTGTTCAAGCAACAGCTTTCGAAACCCGTCTTCGTGCTTCCGGACATAGTCTGTGAGGTCCATCATGCCCAGATAACCCGTAGTATCAAACTCATGCGCGGGACTCTCCGTTTCGAAGCCAAGCCGCCTCCACTTCTCGGGGTTGTGCTTTCGGCCGTCCCTCTTGCCGCCTTCTGCAGCGTCGCCTTTTGAATGTCCATTGACAGCGCGTTCCGGGGCGCTGGCCAGATGTATTCCCTTCAACGCGCGTCGATGATCTGGCCGGTCCAGGTCAACAACAACCTCCCGCCACTTCCGCAGCAGCACCTTTGTGAGTGATTGGAATTCCAATACCGGATGCGCCAGGTCTTGTATGGAAGAGCTCTGCATGAGCTGGTGCACGGCCTTTATGAGACCCAGGTCCTGCAGGCACTTCACCAGCTTTGCCCAATCCTCGCCAGCGCTCCCTGTGCTGCCGTTTGTGTTGGAGTATGTAGAACCGTTCGAGATGGAATCGCGGATGAGAGCATTGATGAGCATGAGGGCATTTGCGCACAGCGCATGGTCCGCACTTTGTAGCTGCTGGATGACCAATTCAAAGAACTGCGGGTAGACAGCCACGGCTGGCTTGAGGGCGCGGAATCCAAACGAGCCCGGTGTTGACCCAATCGGGCTGGGACTCGCGGGCGGACTGGACTGAGAATGGCTGACGAGGGCAACGAGAATCGACATGGCTCCACGGAGGATGTTAACCAGCGGATGAATGACAATGAGCTCCACGATGCGTTCAACAAAGGCGCTTGCGGACGGCCCCTCGAAGATGTCCCAGCCCATGTCGACTTCCAGGAGGCGCGTGAGGCTCTGCAGCGAGTAAGCCAATGTGTTGCCTCCAGATTCCATAATCAGGCCGCGCAGTACGACAAGACCACCAGACGATATGAAGACGTCGGCAAACGAAGGGTCGTTGATGGAGGTCTGGAGTTTGAAGACTGCCATCTTGCGCGCGGCATCCTCATCGCTGGACAACCGCGCCAGAAGCGCAGGAATGTCGGCTTGGTCCATGGCGAGCGAATCACGGCAGCAATATGGTCAACGGTAGGCTGTGACTGCTCGTTGGCGTGCAAACTCTCGACCGGTATGATGTGATGGTGTCAGTCCTCGGTAGAGCATCGTTTGCGATGGTAGCCAGAGGCAGAACCGAGGACTCTGCAACGGCACCGTCGCAGGTGAAATCCAACCCACCCCCTTTTTGGCGGTGGTGGTGATGCTGCCAGGCTGGTGTCTTGTCTCGTCCTGGTTTACTTGGATAAAGTTATCATTGACATCAATTGTGCAAGAGAGTGACCTTGACCACGGCAATTAAGGGGAAGCCATCGCGCATTGAGGCAGAAGAGGTCCCGCCGCACCGACCCCGACAATTAGACCCCAGTTGCCCAGCTGGAAATAATGTGGGCGCGCCGCAAGGCAAGACAGTAGCCGCGTCAATTCGCCAACCCGGCGGCTGCTAGCAGGGGTTTCTTTGTTGCCGCAGACTGCAGCAATTGATTGTGGACGAAAAGTGCTGTTTACTGATGCGCTCTCCATGCCAATCCATGCCAGTTTAACTCGGCTTGAGGCCATTCTAGAGTATTGGCCGCAGTATTATCGACTGGCTGACTTACTTACTTAAGGTCAAGTCCGCATCGTAATCTGTTCCCAGGTCCTTCAGTAATGCCAACTGCACCGCCACAGAACCATCCAGACAACCTTACAAATCAGCCACGCACGTGATCCAGCCTCCGTGGCGCAAGGCTGCAGTCCTAATCCCCAAAGCCATTCTCGGTACTTCTGCATCTTCTGGCCAAGAGCCATCTCCATCACCAAGCTTCACAAGCTCAACACCAGCAACCCAAGCACATTTTTCCCCCAAACCGTCGCCCAACCCACCGGGGGATCCTCACTTTAAAAATGGCCAACTTTCTAGCCTCAATCTTTGGCACCGAGCTCGACAAAGTCAACTGCTCCTTCTACTTTGTACGTCCCACGACCCCATTCCCTTGACCATTTCTCCAATCGCGGCAAAAAAAAAAAAAAAAAAACCAAGATAAGACGACTCTGTTCCCAGGTCCTTCAGTAATGCCAACTGCACCGCCACAGAACCATCCAGACAACCTTACAAATCAGCCACGCACGTGATCCAGCCTCCGTGGCGCAAGGCTGCAGTCCTAATCCCCAAAGCCATTCTCGGTACTTCTGCATCTTCTGGCCAAGAGCCATCTCCATCACCAAGCTTCACAAGCTCAACACCAGCAACCCAAGCACATTTTTCCCCCAAACCGTCGCCCAACCCACCGGGGGATCCTCACTTTAAAAATGGCCAACTTTCTAGCCTCAATCTTTGGCACCGAGCTCGACAAAGTCAACTGCTCCTTCTACTTTGTACGTCCCACGACCCCATTCCCTTGACCATTTCTCCAATCGCGGCAAAAAAAAAAAAAAAAAGACCAAGATAAGACTGACCTCCGTCTCCAGAAAATCGGCGCCTGCCGCCACGGCGACCGCTGCTCCCGCAAACACGTCAAGCCGTCGTACTCGCAGACGATCCTCATGCCAAACCTCTACCAGAACCCAGCGTACGACCCCAAGAACCGGATGAACCCGTCGCAGCTGCAGAACCACTTCGATGCCTTCTACGAGGATATTTGGTGCGAGCTCTGCAAGTACGGGGAGCTGGAGGAACTAGTAGTCTGTGACAACAACAACGACCGTAAGTGTTGATGCCCTTTGGAGGGCGGCACCTCCCCAATTTCAAGCGCTCCCCACGGGCGCGCCCGAATGATTCGCAAAGTCCCGCGCAGAATGAAGGAAACAAGAGAACTAACAAAAAGACAGACCTCATCGGCAACGTGTACGCGCGCTTCAAATACGAGGACTCCGCGCAAAAGGCCTGCGACGAGCTCAACTCGCGCTGGTACGCCGGCCGCCCCATCTACTGCGAGCTCAGCCCCGTTACCGACTTCCGCGAGGCCTGCTGCCGCCTCAACTCGGGCGAGGGCTGCGTCCGCGGCGGCTTCTGCAACTTTATTCACCGCAAGAATCCGAGCGAGGAGCTGGATCGCGATCTGACCCTTAGCACCAAGAAGTGGTTGAAATTGAGGGGTCGGGACGAGCGAAGTATGAGCAGGTCGCCTACGCCAGAGGCGTCCAAGAGACGATAAATCTTGAACCGCGATTTATTTATTTATTTTGTTTTTTACTTTTTATTTTTGTTCGCCTTTGGTATCATGTGGCAACATGAAAGGGCTGAAGGGGGATTGTTATGATGGCTTCACAATGGCAGAAACTGTATTACATATATTGGCGTTACGAAAAGGACGGGTATATATATTCCAGGGTTGTTTATCGGAATTGATATCACGCCGACGATTTCTTGTTATGTACCTCCGCAAGATCAATCCAATCTGAAGTCTCCCGACAAGGCCGAGTAGGACTGTTTCTCTTGTCGTGGCGGTGTTGAAGCCTCTTCGTGTGTTCACCCTCATTCTCATACGCGTTGCGGCCCTGCCTTTATGCTTGTCAGGACACTCTCGCAATCATGCATGACACCCTTTTTTATCGCCACGTAGCCTGTTCTAGGACTCCTCCGCGTCCTCGATATGCTCGGTATGCGCCCCAGTCATTATTTTTATCTGTAGACCAAAAAAAAAAAAAAAAGCCAAGAACGCCTCAACCCATGTATTCGATGGCCGCGGTAGTAATCAAGACGTATGAGCATCTCTAGGGCTTATCGCCGTCGGCTGGTGAATCCTTCTTCATGTCTTCGGTGAAATCGATTAATGCGCCTTCTGCCGGTTTTCCCGTTGAGTTTAGCAAATTCTCAATCTCAGTAGACTTATTATTGTTTGTTACTGGCTGGGTAGGCGGGACATCACCACCAATGTCAATAAGGTCACCTGCCACGCCATTCTTTTCTGCTTGACCGTTCGCTTCCTTTCGAGGTGGAATGGTGAAGCCGCCATCCAGTTTTTGCCCATCAACTACGGGGTAGATAGACAAGAACTGTTGAGTTTGCTCTTCGGGGGACGCCGTAGGGTCTCTGTTCAATGTTAGCGCTGGGTTACAAGTGGGTTACAAGTCCTTTGCTCTGCTTACACTCGAGTATGGATGATCCATTCGAGATCATCTCCTACGCCATCGCCAGGCCTGACCCGCCGGAACAAACGCGGATGCCAATCAACGCCATCTTGTGCTCTAGCAGCGGCTTCCTCCCGTTGTCTGTCCTCGATCTTGGTCTTTTCATCACTAGCTACTTCGTGATTCCTCTCTTTGACAGCCTTTGCAGTTGAAGCCCAAAGTTTCTGTGATTCTCGCTCTTCTTGCTCAGCCAACGGTCGAACTTTTGGTGAACTTGGCTTCGATGTCATGGCGTTGAAGAACATGTCTTTGTGCCCGGTCTTGTTGCAGTTATTGTTAGCAGGTTTGGCGTGATTGAAGAAGCTATCCCGCTAGTAGGACTTGCCTGCACATTCTTGATGAACATCTCATCACTCCAGAATCCAGACAGCTCATAAAGAACCTCGCCGGTGCTTTCCCGCTTGATAACTCCGCCAATTGCGTTGTATGTACCACTGAGCCAGCCCTTCATCTTGAACTCGATGTCCGCGGTCAGGTCCAGTTCTGGACATCGTACAAAACTATGATCACCGAGCTCATACTTCATCTTTCCAAACAGGATACCGCGAGCATACATGTTTGGCTGGGTCAAAATGCTAAAAGCTCTTTGTTAGTGGTCCGATCTTAACATGCCAGCTGTGTCATCACTAACTACTGCTCTCCAATTTCTTTGTTCTTCCCTCTATTCAAGAGGCTCAGGTATGCGACACCCTCCATCATGCTAGCAGCAGAGTTGCCGAGGAATCTGCTCCTCGGCTTCAAGGTACCATCGATACGAATGTGATAGTCCGGGGCCATGTAGAAGTAGCTCGATTTCGGAGGATGGTGCGATGTTTGCTCAGAAATGTAGTATGCTCGCTTGTTGTTCCCGAGCTCCCAATAACAGGTAAAGATTTCGCCAAGAATAGGGTTAAGTGGCTTCTTGACACCTCTGATGGCCTTGTTAGCGATATGATTGTCTTTTCAACGATAAGCGCCGCGGGGTCGTGGGGTAACTGACGGGGGTCGGATATGCCATCCACTGAGGTAAAACTTGACAACAGAAACAAAGCGCTCGACAGGGTCGTCTATTTCGGGTATTTGAAGAAGCATTTCCGGGTGGCACATGAAGCTGCGCATGTCGGTTAGCAAGAGGCGGGCAAACAAGATAGTGACGACGTTGGTCGTAGTTCGTCAGAGCCGCCACGGGGCGGTCCGGGGACACACATACTTGGTTATTCTTTCCAGCATGCTTCGAGGCTCGAGGATAAAAGTAGGCAAGACGACCCGACTAAGATCGGCGTTAGGTCGCAACTGTGAGATGATGTGCGACAGAACTACGTTGTGCCTGGTTAGCTAAACAGTTTGGCGCGAGAAAGCCTGCCAAGTAGATGAGGCAGGAGCCCAGTCGTGCGAAGACTGGCAGCCGAGCTTGGCAAGGTTCCAAGTTGAGGATCGAGAGGATCGAGAGGATCGCCTTACCATTGCCCTGATCAGGGTCCATGACCTGGGTGTCCTGATCATTATCGCCGACCCTTGTCTCATCGGAGGAGGAATGGCCGCTACCTTCGGGTTGCGAGAACCAGTTAGACAACATGGCGGACTGGCAGGTGAGAGGTGAAACCAAAGACGAAGGGACAAGAAACACAAGACAGAAGACCAAGAAGTCGAAAGCAGGGTGGCACTGTGGAAATGTGTTGCAAGAGTATTCGATGGTCTTGTCCGTGGTGATGCCAAGGACGCCGGATGGATTTGTGTCAGAGACTCGGGCGCACTGGAGATTCCCGACTTAAAAAGGGCGCCACTAGGCAAGTGTGAGTGAGACCCGAGTGTTGGGCCCGAGGAAGCAAGGCTATAGGGTACATATGTAGATGGCGGCGGAGGGCGGGGGATCGCCTGGTGAGTGAAACAAACAATAAAACCCCGATTTTTTCTTTTTTAAAAAAAAAAGAGAAAGAGAGAGCGAGAAAGACAAAAGGCTAAAGATTAAAAGAAAAAAAAAAAAAAAGGCACGGCACCCGGAAACCATGCACAAGCCTAGCATGAGCAGCAGCACAGGCAACATTGAAGGAGGCTAGACGGAATGGGAGCAGAAGCTGGATTAGGACATGGAACGCTGGAAACAGAAGACTCACTAGCAGCAGTTGACGCACGACGTCGGCCTGGCACCGAAACCAGGCCTCCCAAGCCACTTAGGACCATGACGACAGACGAAGGCAGACGAGACAAAGCAAGCTGTGACGAGAAGGAGAAGGCCGGCAGCGGCGGAGGCGTCGTGGAGCTATGCTGTGGCTGCTCCCGTAGGTCCCGGTCAAGTCAGCCAGATCAAAAGATGGTCGGCGTTCAAGGCTAGCTCCAGGCAATCGTTGACCGCAGGGGAATGCGCCTTTGAGCCCGATATTCTGCGTTTCTCGCCGGTGTACTTGATGATGTCCAAGAGCACCTGGATTCCCAAACAGCCGGAATGCTCAAAGTGCTCAAAGGATGCCGTTTGCTCCCTCAAAGTCTCTCTTGAAGGCAACTCTCAAAGCCGAGTGTGATTGATAGGAGGCGACTCCGAAGGCACCACGATGGTCAGTCCACCACGTCAACTGGTATTGCGGGTGGCAAATAAGCAGGGTCAAGTCCAAAGGTCGAGACGTTACCGCCCCGATTCGCGAGATACGTCTCGTCTTCTTCGCCTCCCCCCAAGACCTGGGCAACTCGCTACACTTATACTCCTCTTGGCTGGTCTGAAGAAGACCAAAATGCCAACGAGTCCGACAATGTCCTTATCAATTGTGGCTGGTGCGTAGGCCAAGAGACACGCTTGTCTGTTCTCTGTACCTGAGTATGGGCGTTTCCCGAGCTTCCCCAGTTATGAACCTCGCCGTGGCCACGCGTGAAGGCCGTTTGGCTAAAGTTTGGATGAACAATGTATGTATACTTTTTTTGATTGACAGGGAACAAGGAACCGTGAAACAGAATGCTTGGATAGCTGGAGTTGCGTCACTACCTGCTCAAGTAGACACGGAGCAAGTAGGTCTGCTTCATGCGTAAATGGCGGGCTTGAGGACGAGCAATAGGACATGTAGGGGGGAAGCGTAGGCAAGGTCGATGGTTTCGAGAGTCAACCATCAACGCGAGATACAAGGCGTACGAGAGTAATAAACGGGAGGAGAGGGAGAAGAGAATTGAAACCAGGCACGAGGCCGGGAAAGGAAAAAAAATCTAGGTAGTCAACCCGGTGCCGGCAGCTGAAGGCTGAAGTGGTGGACTGGTCAATGGATCGGTCAATGGACCAGACCAGACTTGACACAAGCTCAGCGGGCAGCTACTGAGGGTTTTGGCGTTTGCAAACCCTTGCGGATCAACTGATGTCTCAATGTTAGCACCACCCACACGGCATGTGGCTACTCCACGCATGCACGTACACCCAGACACTAATAAGCAACCACTTTGGGCCCTCCCCTCAGTCGACGAAACCATGCTCGCCTTATGACTTCTGTGGCTGGTCTATGATTCTCACGCAGGTTCACAGATGCCGCAGCGTGACATTACACTCTACTAGTCTCCAAACTTCTATGCAACACGGGAACACAAGGTCCATGGATAACATTGAGGACGTTGGGAAGTTGGGGACATTTCAACTCACAACGCCCGCCACATCTGCCACTCTCCAAAACACGGCATATGCGAAGCTACCCCAAGTTCAGTGGCGGTCCCGAGTGCATGGCGATGCGCTGATGATGCCGTGCTGAACCGGGGGTCCGGAATGCCAGACAAAACACTTGCACATCTAGCCTCGGGGTTGGCCAAGACAATTGAGGGGGTCAAACTCTTTTATCAACCAAAGCTAACTTGGGAGTATCTCATAGAACAACGATGCCCTTTCTCCCCAGACGTCCCGAGTCGTCATTCTCGTTCGTCCGTGCGCCTCCCTACACCAGTCTCAACACCAGTCTCAATTACCCAGCCTCCTGCACCATTGACGGCGGGGTCTATCCATGCCCCATGCCTGACTGACTGACCAAAACGACGTCAGCGTCAACATTTCAACTTCACATCTTCAGAACTGGCCCGGAGAAAACGTTACGGGCTACTTGAGCTGGTGTGACGTCTCACCACCCGACAGTGAATGCCTGTCCGCCAATGCCCGACATTTGCAGCCAGATTGACTCAATGGGGCTCCCATCCGAGATGCAGAGCACACAAACATCGCAGTCATGTTCCCGCTTCTTTCCATGTCCGTGTTGGCGTCCCGATGGATCTGGCCCATCCATGGAATACGGCAGATTGCAATAGGCCTGATGACGGCTGACTATTGTTCCCTGTTACGTAGATGCTTCTCCCTCATGCAGCAAAAATGTGCTTTTTCGAATGTCTGCGGTTCCAGTGAACACTTGATTGCCTTCTACCGACACGATTACCACCACCAACCCCCCTCTTCCAACCCTTCTTGAGAGACCCTCGTAGCCTGCCTTCCCTTTTCGTTCAGACATCGTCCTGCAAATCAACCAACAAAATAGCCTCGAGTGCTTCTTCCACGAATAGAAACATTGACACCCTTGCCTCTATGGCACCCCGAAAACCCCCGTGCTTTTGTTGAGACGCAGCCCAGTCCCGCTGACCAACCCTATTCCGCTGACCGACCCAAGAATCAATCTTCATCCTACCACATTGATATTATCTGGGTCGGTCTTGGCTCTCGGTCCAAGACGCTGCTCTGGAATGAGCCCAATTCCCACTTGTGTGAACGCCGCAAAGCGACAACACAAGCCACTACATGTTTTCCAGAGGCCGACTTGGTCATCACCTCTATAATCTTTACAATTTAGCTTCGAGAATGGAATGGCCTTTGACATGGATGCTTTCGTGTCGCGTGTTCAATAGTCGCTGCCTTACTACTTTCCCGCCGTTGCGTGCAACCATTACGCACCTCCGGATAAAACCCGGCCAGGATAATAAACACCCATGTCCCAAAACCCCAGCACAGCATAAATCAAAACCTTACGGAGTACTTGTGGTACTATTTTCAACAGACCCCTTGCCCCATTGGTTACAATCGTTGTGCAGAAAAAATAATAATTTGTGTATTGCAATAATGTGACGGCTGTCGTCGTTCAAATGCTCCGCTTCAACGCCTTGCTGGCCCGACTGACTCGAATATGACGAGCAATCAAGTGGGCCCATGCTGATTTGTTCTCAAATCTAGTTATTCGTCCATCCTTTGGCAAATCGACACTAGGTAGTCGTGCAAACTCTCACCCTCTCGTCCAAGTAGCTGCTGCCTGCGCTAGAAGGGTGCCTCTTCGCAGATGATGTTAATGTATGTGTCTCTCTAGACGATGCTCGTCATTTGTCAAATAATGATTCTTCATTTTGTCTTGCTTAGCTTGCTCCATATGTTAATGAAAGAGGTGTCATTCTTTCACCTCAGTCGAGATGAGATTCTTGATGACCCTTTGGGGGTAGCGGGCAGGCATTTGCAAAGTAGGTCTCGATCTGCATCCTAGTGTCAGTGCCGTGACAAGGTCAAATGGCGTATATCTCAAAGATCCGCGCTTACCTGCTTCGTTCTCGAACATGATAAAAATGTCATCATGTTCACCAGGGAGATCTGGTAGATCGAGACACACAAAGGCCATGTCATCGTAATCCGAATCCTTGTCCGCTGGTAGCTGTGGTAAAGGGAACTTGGCGTCGACAAACCTGAGCCCGGCCTTGCTTCCTCTTTGAAAGGTTTCGTAGACATCCGTGCCCTTGAGCACAAAGTTCATACAGTGCCCATACTGGAAGTCCTCGAAGAAGGCCAGCAACTGAAGTTGTCTATCTTCTAATTTCACCACTTGGATTCTTGTAAAGCCCGCTTCCCACTTTTTGTGAATGGGAACGACCATACGTCTTCTTGAGATGGCAAAAGTTGTTGCAATGGAATCAAATATGATTTCGAATCCAGTCATCGCGGTTTGGAACTCGTGAAGATCCTTCAAATTATTGAACTCATATGAGCGAATAGTTTGGTTTGCCTTGAGGAGTTGCAGAGCATCTGCCAGGTTTGTAGGAAGTTCCTTTGACACTTGGGCCTCTGAGACCGACATTGTGATATCCTGCTGCGGTTGGCGGAGAACACGTAATACATGTGCATTTGATACCTCAAGCCGCATTCGCAGCTCGCCGGGCGCGACGTTTACTCTGTCCGCAACAGTGCCATTCTGGTACTCCAGGATAACTTTGAGCTTGTCTGCCAGAACTGTAGGCGGCAGGTCCCCATTAGAGCTAAACTCGTCGTTGACCACTCTGGCGGCTTTCCAAGGCATGCGACTAAAAGGCACGATACCAGTTGGCTCACGTAGGCTTTGCGCTACCATAAAGCTCTTGAGAGGCGCATCAGCCATGACTCTCTCGTCGTGATTCAGCGCTGTCCCTGTCAAAAGGGAGTGGAACTTGACTCTTTCCTTCTCATCGCTAAACACAAACACCATTCGTCCCTTTTGTCGGCCATTAACAAACCTGACCGATAATGCTGGAGCGTCTCCTTCGCCTCTGAAGAAGCCGAATTGAACAGGTAGCGGCGGTGGAAAGTTATGCTGAACACCGCTGGTGGCTCTGGTACGAGGTCCCGTCACTACTGCAACCCGAAATCCACAATGCCAACTACGTGGACCTGCCGGGCCACTTTCCTTGTATATCTTCTCGAACAAAGCTATGTCGCACTGCGGTACGGCTTCTTTGGGGAAAACGCGTGACTGAGGGTCTGCATCGAGGTATTGGAAAGACCGCAGGTTGTTTCTGAACACGACAAGCTCATCGCTTCGAGGGCGCAAAGTCGACTGCACTTTTGATCCAAAATCGTACATGTTCCAGAGGGTCCTGTAGTCATTCTGATTCAATTGCACAACCAACAAGAAGCCTCGAGGCATTCGAACTTCTACAGCGCAAGTATCATTCTGCCATCGAAGGTCTTCCCAGACTGGTCCAACATTCTTATTCTCCTGGATGGCCAACTGCACACATCCGTTTTGGCTAGCAATGATAAACACAAGTCCTGTGCTCTTTTGAGGTCGGACCATGGAAAGAATGCACGGCAAAAAGATTCTTTGAGATTCTCGTCCTTGCTCCATCAGAAATACATCTGCCATAACGCGACCATAGCTGAAGTATTCGACGGTGTCACCCAGAGGGAATGCTTCGAGAAGTTGCAATGCAGGCACTGGGTGTTGCATCGCTGTCAAGCCAGACGACCAGTTCCCGGATAAAAGAGCATTTAAATCTTGGCTGAGGGAGGGGTACTCGAGCCATATTGATTTGTCAATAGTCTGAGGCAGAAACGGCTCCTCTGGGGGAAGGAAGCCATTCCGCTTCATAGACTGTGACAGCTTTCTTAGTGCCGAGACAAGACTTTGTGATGCTCCAGTGACCTCTGCATCTGGGGCAAGCCCGAGTCCATCCATAATTTCCGGTATCACTTCCCGGCAAAGCCAATAGCCCTTGGCCAGGTTGGAGTAGGCTTGCTGCCTGTCCAGCTCATTCTGCATCTGCGACTGGGGAGAAGTTGGGCGCTCTCGGACGGCTGATTCTAAGCCCATCCTGCCTTTCAAAAACCACCATATGGCCGCGCGTGCGCAGTCTTTAGGAGCGCATGTCAAAAGCGGCTGTATCGCTTCGGCATGTAGCCTAAAGAGCTCAAACAGGTGCTTTGTGCCCGTGACGAAGGCGTTCAGGGCATCGTCTTCTCCAGCCGAGGCAACAGCATCCTGTAGCCTAATAGACGCTGATCTCGCAGCTATTGGCGGCGGATGGCCAAGCGGCGGGCCAGGTGAAGATCCTCCAGGTAGAGGCCCTTTTTGTGATGTAGCGCTAGGTTGGCGGACTGGGAGGCTTGTTTGGGACGGGTTCGACAGTTGGTATGCGCTAGAAGTATTTGAAGATATGGAGGCGGCAGGGCTGTAATCCAAAGCAGGCTTCTTCATGTGTGTTTCGGGTGATGATGGATACCGGCGGGATGAGTCGGGAGAATCGTCCACATTAGATAACGAAGGTCGGGTGACGTCCTCCCGATCGTTCTGAGACGTCGAACTCGCCGTCCTAGCAGCAAGTGCAAACGCCTTGCCCTCTGCCTCACGCATCTGAGCTTGGTGTATCTCGATGAAAGATTTCCGCTGATCGTCGCGCCTCGCGGATGTTTCAAGATATCTGGCCGACGCAGTTCCTCCAGGCACCAAGGTGTTGCCGGTCCCCCGGTCGTTGGCACCCGGTGGCATGAGTGACGTATTTCGCTCCTCCTTTTCTGGTTCGTGAATAGACGAATAGCCCGTCTGAGTCCTTCGAAGAGGTTTGGGCTGAAAAACGTCGTCGACTGCTCCCGGAAACCCAACCGGTCCTCCTGGCGGTCCTCGGGGACCTCCTGCTGGTGGTACCGCTGGGCCGAGCCTTGGAGATCGATGGACTGGCGGCGGCGGCGGCCTCGCTCTCTTGTTCCTCCCAATCTCAATGGTCGGTATATCGGACTCATCACCGCCGTCGCCGATTATCTCTGGGTATGAATCGGCAAAACGTACGGTCATACCCTTCTTATTTGGTCGGGGGCTTATCCTCGGTGATTTCGACTCCATCTTTCCCGGAGCCATAGGACGGTTCTGTTGAGCCTGTTGATTGACGGCCAAGGCCTGTGGATATCGTGATATGGTGGTGTCGAGCTTGGCAAGCTTGGGCAACGACGGCGGCGGTGGTGGGGGGGGATTGGTGACTTCGAGATGA